AACTGGGTATCTCTGGACTTCCAGGCGACCAAGAAAGTTGAAGCGAAAGTGAAGGGCCTGTGAGAAGTTGCAAAAACAAAAAATCACTCAATGATGGGAAAGGACCAGTTGTAAGCAAAAGTGAAAAGCCTATGAGAAATCGGGAAAACATTCAATGATTAGAAAAGTTGCGAACTGGACATTTTAAGCATCATTACACTGTCTAGCCTCATTACACTGTCCTGCTAGCGTGCCGGAGCACTCTTGTCAATCACGGGCCCTTCCACGCATTCTTTCCATTCGTGAGAAAGGCTCTGTGAGCTATAGCCGGGGTCTCATATCTTAACCTGCCGGGATATTCTTGGTTGCTCAGGAGCCCTTTGCGTGGGTCCCGGCTAACCTACCGACACACCTGTGATTTGCTCATGAGCCCTCTACATTGGTCTAGGGCATTTCCAATTCCCAGTCACTTGCTTAGGGCCCTACACTCTTGTCGGGGTCCCATCTGATGGCCTGCTTGGGCACACTCAGTCGTTCGCGAACCCTCCACACTGGGTCTCGGGTACTTTTTTCTCAATGGGGGCCCTACGCTCTTGTGGGGGAGTATCTGATAACCTGCTCGGGCACCTTCAATTGCGCGGGGCCCTCTACACTGGGCCTTGGGCACATGCTGTCTGAATGGGGCCCTACGCACTTGTCGGGGGCCCCTTCTGGTCGCCTCCTCGGCCACACTGGATTGCTCGGGGCCCTGCGCATTGGTTCTTGGTATTTGAATTTAGGGCCCTCTGCTCCTACCAGGGTCATCTGATAACCTGTTTGGGTACACCCTATCTCTTGAGGGCCCTCCACACCGGGTTTCGGGTGCTTCTTATTTGAATGGAGGGCCTTACGCTCCTGTCGGGGCCCGTTCCGATCAGATCCTCGGGCCCATTGGATTGTGTGGGACCTCTGCATCTAGTTTTGGGTACTTCCTTTTTGAATGGAGGGCCTCCGCTGTTTTCGGGGGCCCTGTCTGTCAACCTGCTCTGGCGCACTCGATTATTCGGGGCCCTCTGCATCGTGTCGTGAGTATTTCAAATTTGAATGGAAGGCCCCACGCTCTTGCCGGGGCCCCCATCCTTTAACCTGCTCGGGCCCACTAGAATATCCGGTTGCCCTTCGCGCTGTGTCTTGGGTACTTCCCATCTCAATGGAGGGCCCGACGCACTTATTGGATTCTCTATCTGTTTTTTTTCACATGCCACCTGTCCACCGTTTCGTCCACACTGGATTGTTCGGGACCCTATATCTTGGGTCATAGTATTTGAATTTAAGGCCCTACACTCCTGTATGGGCCACCTGATAATCTACTCGGGTATATTCCATCTCTCGGGGGCCCTCCGCACTGGGTTTTGAGTAATTCTTATTTCAATGGAAGGCCCTACGCGCTTGTCAGGCCCCTTCTGATAAGCTGCTTGGGCACATTCCATCATTCTGGAGCCATTTACATAGTGTCTTCGGTGCTTCCCATTCGAATGGAGGGCCCTACACTCTTGTTGGTAGCCCTATTTCTCAGCCTGCTCGGGCACACTCGATCACTCGGGGGCCCTCTACATTGGTCCTTGGGTACTCCCTATTTGAATGAAGGGCCCTACGCTCTTTTTGGGGACCTTATCTGTTAACCTGTTCGGGCACACTCCACCATTCGGGGGCCCTCTTCACTGGGCCTCGGGTACTTCCTATTTGAATGGAGGGCCCTACGTCAGTATTTCTTATTTGAATGGATGACCTTATGTTTTTGGTGGGTCTCATCCATTCAGCTGCTCGGGCCGGCAGCGAATGCAAAGGTTTGGGGGGGGGGGGGGGGGAGCACGGGACCATGTCGAGGTGACCTAAAGGCTCCGAAGGGGCCCATAACCGGCCGGCCGGACGCAGCTTTCTTACAACAGAAACACAACACAATTGCATGCCTTTGGGCCTACAGTCAACGGGGAATCATTGTAAGCAAAATCAAAGAGTTCATAATCAAACAAAGTTTATTCTTCGCTGGTCGAAAAAGTGTTGCCTGGGGGAAATTGTGTGGCTCATCACGCCGTCTAGAGGCATTACCCTGTTGGTTTCCTGGCCCTATATGTCCACTTGCCGGGTCAATATGATCGCTAAGGAGCTTTCCACGATGCCTTTGATCTCTTTGCATTTTCTCATAGGGCCCAATGTGCTCTTGGGACGCTATCTGCCTTTATGCCTGGGCGTTGTTGATCGATAAGGTTTTCCTCCACGGATTCTTCACATTCGCCCAAAAGGCTCTATACACTATTTCTGGGGTCCCCACATCCCAGGGCACGCGAAGTTGCTCAGGGGTCCTTCATATAAGTCTCGGATTCGTTGGAGAGTCGTGGGTCGATTGCTTGGAGCGTCGTGTGCTGTTGCTGGGGCTCTTATAAGGTAAGGCAGGGGGACACTCGATGCTCAGGGGCCCTCTACTTTGATCGAGGACTTCCTCTCTTTGGTCTCATTTGCGGAGGACTCTTCATTCCTATCGAGGCTCGTGTTGTTAACCTGCCCGCACACTCTCGGTCGCACAGGGGAATTAACTCATGGTCTTGGATAATTTCCCTTTGCTCGGAGGGTCTTGTGCTCTGACCGGGGCCTTATGTCGGTCTGCCGAGGCACTACTAATCGTTTAGGGGCCCACCACGCCGGTCTTGGGTTCTTTTGCTTGCTATGAGGACCCTATATTTGATGACGGGAGCCGCTTTGTTGGCCTGCGGCAACCATGATCGCTCAGGTTCCGCCCCTGTTGGCCTTGGTGCCTTCGCCTTACAGCAGTAGTAGAAGATACGCCGATGAATTGTTACGCGCAATGGCCGAACGTAATTTCACATGCCGCCGACGTCGTATGTGTCATTTCCATTGGCTATTGAGTGTATGACACTTGTTATACTAGTGCACCAAACAAACAAACAAACTTTCTTCACAAAACATGAATACTAGGATATGGTGTAGTCCTTTATAGCAAAGGAAACATTCTGCATTAGTCATCAGCCATCATCTGATTACATCGCACGGCAGGCTGACCGTTAATACTTAAGCTAAGAATCAAGTCCGTGCTTGGTTTTTATGGTTGCTAGTAGCCAACCCAAGTTTATTTTGCCTGTTGTTCCGAAACACTTAGCCTCAGAATCACAGCATTTAACACGATCTATAGAGAATGAGTGAGCCCTATGTGCATGCATGCGTAGCCGCCTACCTTTTTAAGGCTTGCACAGTAAGATGGGTTTCCGTTTTTATTAGATAAATGAATAAATAAATAGAGAGAGAGAGAGAGAGAGAGAGAGAGAGAGAGAGAGAGAGAGAGAGAGAGAGAGAGAGAGAGAGAGAGAGAGAGAGAGGAGAGAGAGAGAGAGAGAGAGAGAGAGAGAGAGAGAGAGAGAGAGAGAGAGAGAGAGAGAGAGAGAGGAGAGAGAGAGAGAGAGAGAGAGAGGAGAGAGAGAGAGAAGAGAAGAGAGAGAGAGAGAAGAGAGAGAGAGGAGAGAAGAGAGAGAGAGAGAAGAGAGAGAGAGAGAGAGAGAGAGAGAGAGAGAGAGAGAGAGAGAAGAGATAGAGATAGAGGAGAGAGAGAGCGAGAGAGGAGAGAGGAAGAGAGAGAGAGAGAGGAGAGAGAGAGAGAGAGAGAGAGAGAGAGAGCGAGAGAGAGAGAGAGAGAGAGAGAGAGAGAGAGAGAGAGAGATAGAGAGAGAGAGAGAGAGAGAAGAGAGAGAGAGCGAGGAGAGAGAGAAAGAGGAGAGAGGAGAGAGAGAGAGAGAGAGGAGAGAGAGAGAGAGGGAGAGAGAGAGCGAGAGAGAGAGGAGAGAGAGAGAGAGAGAAGAGAGAGAGAGAGAGAGAGAGGAGAGAGAGAGAGAGAGAGAGAGAGAGAGAGAGAGAGAGGAGAGAGACTAGAGAGAGAGAGAGAGGGAGAGAGAGAGAGAAGAGAGAGAGGAAGAGAGAGAGAGAGAGAGAGAGATGAGAGAGAGAGAGGAGAGAGAGAGGAGAAGAGGAGAGACGAGAGAGGAGATATACGATATATAATATATATATATATATATATATATATATATATATATATATATATATATATATATATATATATATATATATATATATATATATATAACGTTATGACCGAAATGCACGGACATTTTTTGGAGGGAGGTCCCAAACTCCGGGGAGCCGCACAATGTTGCGTGGCCCCCCTTGGCGAAATCCTGAATCCGCCCCTGGCTGACGGGCTGACAAAAAATCCTGGCATCAACGTCAGCCGGCGTGGGATGTCACAGGCCACATGACTTCACACGCCGGTCATGTCATGGTCACATGACATGACGTAGGACAAATACTGAGCCGTGGTTGGCGCTGACAAACCTGCTGATGACAGATCGAACGCGGCCTTATGCGCTAGAACTCCAGGCTGCACACAAGTTAGCATGTTGTCATCGAAAGCCTGGCAAATGTGTTTTGACCGTGAATTTCTCTTGCCACCGTCTTTGTCCGACATCTTCGCTACATACTGTGTAAAAGTGTGCTGCATCGTACAGTCAGCATGCGTATGTTCGCAAATGTTTTATTATATGCCACTCGAAACTGGCAAACAGGCCTTGGGTCGCCTGATGACCACAAAATGGCTAAACACGCATATGAGCTCACAGAAAAGATGTCATTATCGAACGGAAAGCTCGCAGCATAACGCAGTTCGTGAAGGGGAGCCACAAAACCCGTGCGCAGTGGCTTTGTGGCAGCGCGGATCAAAAATAAGAAACACAAATCTTAATGGATTGGCGCAGTTTAAGAAAGCAATCTTTCTTATGTGTCGGTTTCATCGAGATCGGCGTGATGCAAGTTGTTTTTTGCCCTCCTGAAGAGCATGCATTGATTGCATGCGTTGATCCTTTGACTTAGTAGGAAACGCACATCGGGGCCCTGCAGTGCTACCAACTTATGTTGGTGTTGGACGATAATGACACTTAAAGGGCAAAAGTGAAGCAGGAGAACTTGTGTGTCTGTCTGCGGAGCCAACTAAACACACGAAGGCGGCGGCGCACGCAGGTCCTTGAGGCGCGCGCGTTTGGTTGCGCTTGTTTGGGTCATCATAGGGTGATAGGACGTTGCAAGCGGAAGTTGTCTGCGTTATTTGCGCTTGCCGGTAAGTCTTGAGTTTTGGTGCTGTATGAGGACAAGTTGACTCAATGGAGACGGGGGTGTTAGAATTGTATTTTGCAATCTGTAGTTAAAAGTAGGGGAAAAGTCAATGATTATGAAAGTGAAGACTAGCGTGAGCAGTGTCAAGTGAAATGAGAAATTTAGAGTGAGGCAACGAATGTGACATGGAGCTTGATGACATCCTAGCAGGTAGATGTCTCAAAGTCAGAACAATGAAGTGCATTAGCCTGAGGGCAGCAGTATCCATGGAAACAACTTTAGCATATGTACAGGTCAATTTGAGCACCTAAGTTTGGTACATGGTTGCCACCTGAAGATATAGAGGCCCAGTGCTCAAAGTAATTTTATTCTGCAAAGTTGCCTTCAGACAATTTCATAACCTACTTCAGCACACCAAAAATCATGTGGAATTTGGCCAGGCCTGAATTTGGCTCACAAACACCAGGCACACTGCATGTTAGTCCTGTATGCAACATGCATAATGAATATATTTTTGAAGACTGGCATCAAAATAGTGGTGATATTTATATTTAAGTTTGATGTTGAGGGGAGGGGCTAGACTTTGAAGCTAGGTATAGCAAAATGCATGAAGACAGGTGGGAAACCCACTCACAGCTTGGTTAACAAATTTATACCATACCTGTATTGTTGGTGCATTTTTGTTATGCAAATGATATATATAATAGGCATAATATGAATGGTCACAACACAGTGTGTCAAAACGAGAATTACTTTGTATATCATTTTATGCAAAGCTTCATCATGCCAATCTACAAAAAATCTGTTCACTTGTCAAATGCTATGTGATGTTGGCACACATTATGTACCTTGAGCACACATGCATCAAACTAAGGCCAGGCTAGATTGCACAGAATTTTCAAGTGGTTTGAAAATCTAGGCATTTTTTTTCAAAATCACTCCAGTATTATCATAATTACTTTAAGCATTGGCTGCACATGCAGTGAAATTGTTGGTGACTGCTCCAAACTCACAGCTCTCAGATTTACACATTAAGTGGAAGTGCATGTCATTGATACCTGTAATGTGTTTGAGATGATGTGTATGTTTTGTAGTATGGCCAGCATATGTGGAAGAATGAATAACCATCACTTTGTACTATGCTCACTACCTAGTGCATCATACAGCCACACTGTATTCCAGTTGGTGCCCAGCTACAGGGTCAGATGCACCTGCACTGGCATCTCTTCCAAGCATTTGGCAAAGACCGTCTTATGCGCCTCCAGCGTGGACTCCAGTGTCCGATGGGGGCTTGTTTGGCTGATCTGGAAGACCAACTACTGGTCTACTTGCATCGATTTGTGTCACCTGCCCTCTAGTGGTTGTCCGGGAAATCGCCATGCAGACCATCAGCAGCGTGGCACCAGTAAACTCCGACTCCGTCGTGGGCTCCTCAACCTTACCATTTGTATACTTCTCCTCTGGCATTGCAGAGATGCTCATCTGTCTTGTGCTTCTTGGGCCTCTGTTTGGTCTGCAAACCGTTCAGTCTGCCCGGACTTTTCTGCTGTGCCCAATATCCGAGCGTCGGTCGCCGCGGGATCGGGGCTGGTCGGGCGGCTGGACAGCGCCGCGCCGCTTCGGTGCGGCCCTCGCTGCACGGCTCGCCTCCGGCCGGCCGTCGCTCCGCACCGCAGCACGCGCCCAGCCGGTGCGGTGCGGCCCTCGCTGCACGGCTCGCCTCCGGCCGGCCGTCGCTCCGCACCGCAGCACGTGCCCAGCCGCTGCGGTGCGGCCCTCGCTGCACGGCTCGCCTCCGGCCGGCCGTCGCTCCGCACCGCAGCACGCGCCCAGCCGGTGCGGTGCGGCCCTCGCTGCACGGCTCGCCTCCGGCCGGCCGTCGCTCCGCCTGGGCAGCACGCGCCCGGTCGCGCTCAGCCCGTTGACGGGACAGGCGTGCTGAGTGAACGGCCGCCATGGCGATGCGCCACGTCCCTTTGGCCCTCATGACGTAGCGTACGTCGGCCAGAGCCGCGGGGCATCGCCGTTCGCGGCCTCCTCTCAAAGGGTGTTATACAGTCGGAGACCTACGGCTGCAGCCTGCAGCACAGCGGTCGCGCAACTCTGGCTCTGTTTCGGTCGCCGTATGCTGGCAACGGCGCGACTGACCGCACTGCCGCCCCAGAGGGCGTCCGAAGTCTTCCCCCGTCGTGGTGCCATGAGGGGTTCCCGGCATCGTGCCATGAAAGCCTCCTGGGAGGTCTAATCCGCTCGCAGATTTCGTTGTGACTGGGCGCTAAATATACCGCCAGCTTCCTCTGACAGATATCGAGGTCGCGGTCGTTTCCCGCTGGCTCCAGCTCTGACAGTGTCGTATTATTCGGCGATATCGTCTCCCAGCAGACGAAGCAGTACAGCGCATTGCCGCTCCGCGGTTGTCATATTCATGGCCAGCAGGTACCGCTCCATGGCCTTCACCCGCTTTGGGAAGTCCTGCTCTGCACCAGAAGTGGAAGCCCTAGGCAGATGCCGTCCCGCCATCTCCGCCGCCGCCGGTCAGGGGCGGCGGTGCGCGCGTCAATTTGAAACTAGTTGCGCCACATGCAGCCAACAATGCTACTTCCCTTCAGCTCAAAGGTGGACTCGTCCGGTTGAATGTCCGACGCGGCGGCCCGGTCGGATGTCCGACATGGTAATGCGCAGATCTTTGAACCCGCGCCAACTGCGTACAGCCCAATCGGTCCACCACGCGCCCGCTGCTTCGCCCGCGTCTCAGCGACGCTGAACCGGCGACGTGACGCGGCCCGTGTCCCGACGGCGACACCAACTCACCGTCACCACGCACACGCACGCCTGGCTCCTTCTGCCGGCGTCTTTCCACGACCAGCCGTTTAAACCCCGGCGGCCGGCGCGCCGCCAGCGTTCTGCGCGCTGCGGAGGCTTGCCCTCAGCTCAACGAAGTACATTGGCTGGAATTCCGCGTGGTGGCCGAGCCACGATGCGCTGTCGCCATCACGGGCTCTGAAAGTCCCTCAATGCTAAGTGTAATGGCGTCGGCTCCGTCATTGTCATGGGATGAGCACTTGAACTAGAATGGTAACATGGCGAATTGACAGCCTCTCTGGGATCTCGTGCACGGCGGCGGGGACGGCGAGGCTCCGGCCGTCCATGCATATGATAGGTGGCGTTGCTCATGCAATACAGAGCACGGTTACCTGGGGATCCTATTTGGCGTCTTCGAAGGTCAGTTCGGTAATGCTTCTTGTACGGTGCAAACACTGAGCGGGTCCGATCTTCAATCAGTCTGGCCTCCAATCCGGACACTTCTCCGGACATGTGTGATTTCTCATACAAACAGTTCTATCTTAGTTTGTTCTTTTGTACGTGGTGCGTTGCAGGGCGCCCTTTAAAGGAAAAATCTTACTTTTGTTGTACTTTTCACTTGTGGTTACTTTATACGCGTACGATTTAATCAGTAATACCATTTCTTTCGAGATCCTAAATAGCTTAGATTTTGATTTGGAGCAGCCGCTCGTGTGGGAGAAATCCCCTTTGATTCCCCACACGCCACGATGAAAGTAATGCATTTCATTCGCCTTGCTCTTACGACGTGTGTGTTTTATGATGTTTGCAACACACTAACGTCTCAAAATGTTTGTGTGATAAGTACTACGAAAGCTTGAAACATGCTGTTCAGACACAAACATATCCAAACATGAAGCTGTTCCCGCGAATTTAACGAAACCTTATGCTATGACCTTGATTTCTCCCCTGTGGCGTTCGCCACAGTGACTCTGTTCGACGCGCAGTTGGGCTTTGAGAAGGGGAATATCACATGATCCATGTGACGCACTGGTTCAGGGTTCAACAAGTGTGCTTTTCGGTAGCAGGCCCTTGCCGCCCGCTGGGTCAATCACAACCATACTTTTATTCGCACCAGTGGAGGTGCGCACGGCGGTTGTCTTAACGACAGTGGTCGCGACTGCAGGGAAGCGTGCTGTTACAAAGGGTTGACAGCGTAATTTGGACTAAAAAATAATTAAAATTGATATTCATATGTCTTGACGACGCTGCAGTGGTACCACGCAGTCCTGAAGCTTCACTAGAGTGTGTTCTCCAAATATGCTCCAAAGTTGGGACACCTTTAAGCGGTTCGGTTCTCGGCCTCATGCCCGTCATATCTAAAAGTTGTCTTATGCCCGTTGCTTATGACAAGGCACGTTCCGTGGTGGAGACATGCAATCAGCAGTGAAATCTGGCTTCTGTCCAGTTGCCTTCCATCATGGGGACATTTGGAGCTGCATCACAGCAAGCATGACTGTTTAAGTGGCCGTATTTTGTGTTCACTTTGAGCACTACAAAACCCATGGGATGAGCTACTCGCGTGACGTTTTTGTGATGCCATGCCTGGTTAGGGTCTAGCTCAGATGCTAGAGGATTTGAAGTCTTAAGCTAAAAGGGCATAGCTGTGATTTCCTGCTGATCTGTCGGAAAAGCACCTGATAGGAAGGAGGATAGTGGTAAACAAAGTAGGGGCGTCGCTTTGCGTAAATGATGGACGTGTTTTTTTTTGGGGGGGGGGGGCGAGTCAGGGTCTATTTTCTTAACCTGCCCCTAATTGTGTATTTCTTAATGGATTTAGCCCGCTTTACCACGATTATGGGCAATTTTATTTTTATTTTGTACATTACCAAGTCTGATCAGTTCTGCGATGTGCCATGCATCAAGTACCTGTCTATGGTGCTGCTCACTAACCCATGGAAAATCCGGCCCATAGAAAATCGTCGTAATCCCCGCGGTCATTGGCTGCGGCGCTGCTGCTGCCGACCTTTGATCAACCGCGCGTCTACGAGCAGAACGGGCGCGTTTTTCGTGATTGTGTGATTAAACCACGACTCTGAATGGTTCAGGAGCTGCTCTGCTCCAAATGGCTGAACACTGTCCTGGAAAGCTTCGATAACTGCTCCCATTGATCATCTACAATGCTTTGTGGTGGGAACAATATGACCCACCCAGCTGCAGAAGCCAACATGTGCAAAAACATCAACATATTTACAACTTTAAGGCCGTGAGACGGTCTCGACTTTTTAAGACGTGACCAAATTGTATATACTCACTTATCACCTTGGACCGCATCCAGTAACCAGGGCATCAAGGGTCCCAGACGAAAATGTGAAAAGTGGCCAAGATGACAATCATTCTGTGTATTTTCAGATGATGGAATTACTACTAGGTGCATTACTCATGCTGCTGGGCTGTAAGTAGCACGCATGCCAGCGTTCATCCGTGAAATATTTCAGTGCCAGCCATCGCTAAATCGATGTGGCGGGATAATATCATCGTGTGTTCTCCTTGCTCTTCCACTCTACGAAATGAACATTGTTGTCAATGATTTGACTGCCACCGATGTTGCTTCAGCTGTTGCTTCAGCTGTGTTTTTCGCCGCCCTCGTGAGAGCCACCCAATGACGGACTGCGCATGCGGCAGGCGCCGCCGGCTACTCCCCGGGCGATCCGCCGAAGCCGATGCCGCGACGCTATATCACCAGCGGCGTGCTGCACCTGCCCTACGCCGAGCTGCACGAGCCGTTCTCGGCCTGGGTCGACCTGAAGCGCGACATCAGCCGGCTCGACTACTACAACGGTCCGTTGATGCCCCCTCCCCGCGACCGCAGGCCAGCGTACAGAGCGTGTGGCCAACGCAGCGCCTGCCATGCCAGATGGCATGTGATGATCAGATGATGAGATGATCGCGATGAGATGGGATGACGTGAGGCTGCAAATGTGGCCGTTGAGAATTGTTTCCAAAATGATAGGGAAGGAAGGTTATCAGTGTGTCTTGTGCAGGGTTGGTAAGAACCGGCTAAAACAGCTTCTGCCAGCCAACTTTTGCCAGCTAAAAGCAGGCTCAAATTACGCGTCTGGGAAAACAGAGGTGCGGGGTTCGATTCCCCTCCGTTCCCGCCCTTGTCGCCAGGCTTAGAGGCAGGCGACGCCTTTATAGATCGAGCAGCTGAGTGCGCCGTAAAGCCCCCATGACAACGATTGACCAGTTAAAACCAGCTGGTAGAGGTCATTGGTGGCAAAAAATTAATAGTAAGTCATGGAAGCTTAAATGGGATGAGAAGATTGTAAGCCAGTGGTGCCAAATAGACAGAAGCTAGAGAGGCCATGGCCTTTTAGTTTTTTCGACGTTGTGAGGTCGCACTTTTCATTAGCTTCCTACTTTTGGACTTCTTATGCAAGCTCTTGAAGCGTCTAGTGTAGGCGACGTAATCATTGCTGCTTGATAAAGTCGTTTAACCAGTGCCTCATTGTATTTTGAAAGTAGATTTCTGTCAGTATGACAATTAAATTCATGATGCTATCAAACCTAATGACATAAACCCGGTTGACAGCCTGATTTCAACCAGCTCAAATGTCGACCCTGGTCTTGTGTCGATCGTTATCCTTTAAAACGTTATCGTAATTGATTCGCCTTTGCGTGTTATTGAGTCATGCGTGGCGCAATGGACCGCGCACCAGTCGCCAGCGCTGTGCACTGTTACGTTTGCGGGTTTTGCCAGGTGTCATGAAAACCTACCAGATGGGCGGCAAGAACGGAGGTGCGATGTACAAGCTGATGCCAGTCACCAGGGACGGAAAGGACTACAACAAAATGACGTGCTTCAAGGTATTAGGACGTTTTATTTTGCTTCATCGTGCCATGCGCAGAAGCTAATGCTTCTTCACCAGTCAACGGGTCAAATGAATATCAGTTATTTACCATGCGTCCTGTCGCAAACAGCGTTGACGACATTAACTATCACAATATGGCGAACTTGGTAGGTGGGGAAACACCGCCTCCAACACCAGCGCACTGAAGCCGGTGCTAACCTCCAGGACGGGGTCACCGCCCGGGCTCGTAGTGTGCCGACTGGAGCTGGCTCTAACCTCCTGGATGAGGTCACCGCCCGGGCTCGTAGTGTGCCGACTGGAGCTGGCTCTAACCCCCTGGACGGGGTCACCGCCCGAGCTCGTAGTGTGCCGACTACAGCTGGCGCTAACCTCCTGGACGGGGTTCCCGCCCGGGCTGATAGTGGGCCGACTAGAGCGTATGCACCTGCCGTGGCCGGCCGCTGCGGTGCTGGATCCTGAGCCGGCTGGGGTCCCGTTGCAGACTCCCGGCTCCAAGGCGGCGCCCGTGCACGCCCAGCCGATGCTGCCGGACGTGGCCAACTTCAGCTTCGTCAAGCAGGAGATGCTCTATGGCCGGCTGTGCGACAAGTTTACTTTTGAGGAGGACGTGGGACAGAAGCACAACCTCTACTCGCTGTGGACCAGCCGCGAGGTGAGCACGCACACGAGCGGCGCGGCGCGGCGATGGGCGGACCGGGCGCGGGGATGAGCGGACCGGGCGCAGCGATGGGCGGACCGGGCGCAGCGATGGGAGGACCGGGCGCAGTGATGGGAGGACCGGGCGCAGCGCGGCGATGGGAGGACCGGGCGCAGCGCGGCGATGGGCGGACCGGGCGCGGCGATGGGCGGACCGGGCGCAGTGATGGGAGGACCGGGCGCAGCGCGGCGATGGGCGGACCGGGCGCGGCGCGGTGATGGGCGGACCGGGCGCGGCGATGGGCGGACCGGGCGCAGCGATGGGAAGACCGGGCGCAGCGATGGGAGGACCGGGCGCAGCGCGGCGATGGGAGGACCCGGGCGCAGCGCGGCGATGGGCGGACCGGGCGCGGCGATGAGCGGACCGGGCGCGGCGATGGGCGGACCGGGCGCGGCGATGGGAGGACCGGGCGCAGCGATGGGAGGACCGGGCGCGGCGATGGGCGGACCGGGCGCGGCGATGGGAGGACCGGGCGCGGCGATGGGCGGACCGGGCGCGGCGATGGGCGGACCGGGCGCAGCGATGGGAGGACCGGGCGCAGCGATGGGAGGACCGGGCGTGGCGATGGGCGGACCGGGCGCGGCGCTGGGCGGACCGGGCGCAGCGATGGGAGGACCGGGCGCAGCGATGGGAGGACCGGGCGCAGCGATGGGAGGACCGGGCGCAGCGATGGGAGGACCGGGCGCGGCGCGGCGATGGGAGGACCGGGCGCAGCGCGGCGATGGGAGGACCGGGCGCAGCGCGGCGATGGGCGGACCGGGCGCGGCGCCATCAGACGACCGGACGCTTCCCGCTTGTGGTTCAGCGTGGGCTCATGGTTGGCATGCCCCGAGATGATAGCGTGCTGAACGCCAAGACGGCTCCTGTACCGAAGCAACGGCGTGAAGCGGATGTTTGGGCTCAGTCCATCGCTTCAGGTTGGGGCTATAGGGCTACGGGAAGCGAATGATACGCAGTGTTGCGCCGACGTAGCCAGGGAGAGTGCGGTTGCCTGGACTGTGAGGCCGGCGCGCCGCTGAGTGTCCGGCCGGGACGCCGCCCCACCCCTGTACTGACCCTCCGCCGCGCTCCCCTCAGGGCGGCTACCACCCGGTGCTGTACGAGATGAAGGGCTACGACAGTCTGCTGGGATCCCACTTCGACCACTACATCGTGCAGTACGTGACATTCACTGCGGCCACGCCGTCCAAGGCTGACATCAGCCCACCGGGTGAGTTAGCCTGATGCTGCCCCGCCCGAGGGAAAGTCTGACCCTGTCGTTTCGGAGGCGTCGAGCGACGTCAGGAGCTGCCCCGCTGACGCCGCCGCCACGTCGCCAGACCCGACCCGCTGCCACGGCTGGAATCCGGGCGCCGGCGAGCATACCTATCTGATGAACCCCATGCGCGAGTTTGTGCACAACGAACACGCGCACGTGGAGGCCAGCTTCGACACGTTCCGCGCGCTCCACGGCAGGAAGTACGCCGACCACCGGGAGCACGCCACGCGCCGCAACCACTTCCGTCACAACATGAGGTCAGTTGACCGGCGGTGGCGCCCCGCCCCGATCCGTACCATGCCGTGCCACCTCCGCGTCCGGTCTCCAGTCCTGCTCGCGGCCGATGGACCCTGCAGCCACTGGTGCGGCGTGATCTTGTGGTGATTTGCACGGTTTGTGTGGAGCAAATGCTGCCATGATAATGTGATGCGGTGTCTGGGTTGTCATACAGAACGCTGTGAAGATATGAGGCTCAGCTATTCTCCTATGTCCCTCTGTCGTGAGTAAGCACGCAGGCTTTGCAAGGGTGCAGTTTCCTAATCAGCTGTGGGGGCTGAGGCCCCCCCCCTTCCTTTTCCAATTCGGTTTACAGCCCCAAAACTTTGAGAAGAAAATGGGATAAATCCGGGGAGAAACCCGTTTGCTGGCGTGGCTTGTGGGTACGTTGAGTCTTCTTGCATTGTCCAGCCTCCCCCTCTCCCCTCTCAACTTATTTCGCGAAATCACTGCCCTGAGCTTTTATGTCATTGTCTAACTCGGTATCTTGTATGTAGCGTAGCGAGCATGTCACACACGTTAAACACATGTACGTATAAGTTGCAAAAACGTACGTACTCTGGCGTACTGAAAATTCCCGGAACGTAAGAAGTGACACGTACACAGCTTTCGACGTTTCACGTTCGTTGGGAGGCTGGCGTGGAGAATACATCCGAACCGCGATCTGCTGTAAACGATGACGACTGCGAGGACCTGCCAAGGGCGGTGGGGTGACCTAGGCAATCTGCCGGAAATGATGGCGGCCTGTCAGCAGCGTGCCAGGGGCAGTGATGACCTTGACCGCGTCCCGCCATGGTTGGTAATGGCCTTGACCGCTGTCTGTCAGGAGCAGCGGTGACCCGGACCAGGGCCCAACAGGCTTATTGTTGAGCTCGCGTACCAGGCATGGTGTGACTGTGTTTACGGGGCGGCCGGGGGCAATGGTAACCAGACCTCCACGTGCCGCCCTCCTCCCCAGGTACATCCACTCCAAGAACCGTGCCGCGCTTCGGTACCGGCTGGCGGCCAACCACCTGGCGGACCGCTCGGACGCCGAGATGGCCGCGCTTAGGGGCTACCGCTACAACTTCGGGTGAGGTCCGGGTGACCCAGCTAGCGTACGTGGGGTCAGGGCGGCCGGGGGTGGTGGGCTACGTGGGCCCGGGTGACCCAGCAGACGTGCGCGGGGTCAGGGCGGTCGGGGGTGGTGGGCTGCGTGGGCCCGGGTGACTCAGCAGGCGTGCGTGGGGTCAGGGCGGCCGGGGGTAGTGGGCTGCGTGGGCCTGGACCTCGTCCCCATCCGGCCTGCGACGCATTCTCTCCCAGTGGATTGTTTGTAAACGGCCGAAAAATGTACTGTGAACGGATGCTTGACGAAGACATTGTTTGGAGCTCCGGCTTTGACTGTGATGCGATCCGCGCTTTGGACCAGGACCGCGCCGCCGCGCTCAGAGGCCTCAGCCGTGGCGCTCGCCAGTGTTTGTGCCGGGCGAGTTCAGCGACCTGGCGCTATGTCTCAGGGTCGTATTACGTGATACTGATATGGTTCACGTGGGTTGGGGAGGCCTATTGGGTGAGCCCTGCTGCCGGGCCTGCACTGCGCTGCCGCTGTCGTGTGCCGTGCTGGACTGGGTCACAGTGCGCGGTGCACATTATGCTGGTATGCCGGCGTGTCGCATTTCAAAATGTCTTAAAAAAGGATGTTGAAATGTTTTTCACCATCGCTAAAAATCAAACCTGAGAAAACTCTCGAATACAAGCGACGTGACTGGACCAGCTGAACCAGAACCAGCACCAGCCTCTACCGCTTTTTGGTCGTTACTGGTGAAAACTGGCCGTGAAATGTTGAGCTTTTTTAAATGCACTAGCGGCTTCCCCGGAAAAAAGAGTTAGGTTTAGCTAGCGTGACCGTAAGGTTGCCATCTGTGGACTCTATGTCACCTGATCAAGTTTCAAGATGCAAATGTGTCTTAAGTGATAAAAACAACTATATCTCATGCACCTTGGCACCAATTTTTGAGAGCATGCATTTTCTGACCAAAATCCCTCATCCCTACTATAGTATTCACATTGTATGTAAGCACCACCAGCAATGCTTAGCATAAAATGAATACATTACATGTTTACCGTGTCTGAGGACATCAGTATAGACGCTCAAACTTGAACTTAGTGTAAACGGACATAAACTTAAGCAGCACACAAACATTCGCGTTGCATGTTGTAATGCCGTGGCCGCTTCATTTGACTATTTGCCTCCACAATGATAACCATATCTGCGCTTATGTCAGTCTGTGCCAGTTTGTACGACTTCAGTCAGCCCATCTGGCATGGTCCAGCAGGTTGCCTGTTGCTCCTTTGGTCTTGTACTCGTTGAGTTGCCTCCTTGAACCGCCACTTTGTTGCTGTTTGTGTTCTGGCAGGATGGTAGCTCACGCTATAAGTTAGTAATTAATTATCTTAACATCGACACCTAGGACCAGATTTGTCCAAAATACACCATTCCAAGCCTTACGCGGCACGTGTATATATTTTGTACGTCACTGTGAAAACCGACACTAACTGTCTGCTGCACTCCTGATCGTCATGAGTATCGTGAAGATGGTTGCATCAGACGCAGTTGTGAACGCAATATGGTCGTGCTGAATGCCGCCGACGTCTATACATCAAACGAGGTACGCTTGAGTCGTGTGATTTGGGGATATGACCAAACACTGTATGGGAACATCTCCACGTAACCATGGCAGTACAAAACATCGAACTTGTTGTAATGCACGCCCGGGGTTTATTTGACGCTTGGTGAAGTGAAATCGGCTGCTTCCTCGTGCTGCAGGGAGCGTGGAAGCCTGAAGTTCCCGTACAGCGAGAAGACGGTATCGAACGTGACCACAAACTGGGACTGGAGGATCCGGGGCGCAGTCACACCTGTCAAAGGTACGTCCGAGCCGCGGGCCCGTCCCGACAGCCACCCGGACGCCAGTCACTGACACAGACAGCGATACAGATTTGTTGAAATGACGTCTAGTTCTGTTCGATTTTCATTCCTTTACGTCAAACGGATAAAACAAGTGCTTGCGGGCTCGTTGCGATAAGCGACGGAGCTGACTCCTTACAAAGGCAAGCGGAGGTCCGTGGCGTTCTATGGAGGGTTCGCGGTGACATTATTTTGGGATGCATTCAACACGATTTATAGGACTTGCTGGCCGATCCGACCTCTGGCTGCTGGGATGCCTTGCGGGAACCGGGTGCGATCAACAGACTACCAGGGAGGCACGTATGCGGCTCATGCGAAACACTCTATTAGCCAGTTTTTGTGCAGCAACATGGGGTGGATCGCTTACAACTTTGAAGGGAAGCGGTCGTTGACCACTCGCCTCTTCCCCCGCCCTCTTTACACACTTCTGCGCCCTGGGAGGTGGTCGTTGCAAATCCCCAAAGAGCTCCATTTGGCCTGTTTCAAGGTCGTTTGTTTTCGTAAACCCATGGGAATTGGGCTCATTCGGGCCTGACATAAGCATTGTCATAGTGCGTACCGATGTTGCACCATAAAGTCATGCGGCGAAGGTGATAAGGCACACCAAAACAGTAAAATATTATCCAGAAGCATCATTTAAGCCACTGCTGTAATGAGCGCACCATTTGCTGATAAAGATCAAATCAGCGATTGGTCAGCTTTCAAATATTGCTGCTCTAATTTCCATCGTGGCTGGAGTGTTGCTACGCATTTCAGAAGGTTCAAGGACCCGTGTTTGCTGCTACTACAGATGCAGTGGTAAATTCAGTTTGGAAAACCTGCATGACTTGCACCGAAGGTCGCGCAACACCGCCTGACTTCGTGTTATGGGATCCGTGCAGGGATGGCGTAGATCTCCTTTGTTACGGTATGACGTAGATGTGCACATGGTTGACCATGATTTATCATGTCATGGTGTGACTGCATATCTGTGGGTGTGTGAGCAATCGTCCTTTTGTTCTCAGCGGGCGTTGGATTGACCTGGGTGAACCTTTTATAACCAGGATGGAACATTGTTCCAAAACGGGCCTTTCGGGTGTGCTGTTTGCAGTCAAAGACATGGAAAATGTATGCGCAGATACATTTTGGTTGAAGATATTCACTTGTGGGTAAAGTACCATGTTAGTGTTTATGCTACCTCCGCTGCCACCTCCACCTGCATTGCCGCGTTTTCAGGTACGCACAGACGTGCGGAGACAGCACTGGGGTCGGTAAGATCCAGACCCCGGCGGCTTGGGCAGATGAAACTACTGTTCGTGCTAAATGCCATAAAATGTCATCAAAACAAGACGGGAAATCAATAGCATTCAAGGCCCGGTGCCGTCCATGCGCACACCACGGCATGCTGCTAAATCAAATATGAATATTGTGCACGTCATTGAACGGATTCACAAAGATAGTATTCACTTCTCAAAGGGCATGTGAGCAGGATGGTGAGGAGATACGTTTTAATTCCCTTTGACCTTAGCGTAAAAAATGGCAAGTGGCATTGCGAACCGTACTTATGAAAATGCTCCCCAAGCATGGAGGTCTTTGTGGTGCGCCTTTCACACCTGGGTCATTACTCGGACATCTCGTTACGGCGCGAGCTCCAGGTGGCCCCGTTTTCGGTGGAGGCAGAAGGCTGCGCGCCTTGCCAGCTCACCTGTAACCGTGTCGCGCGTATCGATGTGGTCCTGCGCGCTACGTGGGCCATGACCCCATTCAGGTTGCCAAGGCGCTGAGGGCTCTTTCTGCCTTATTTCGGGAAGCCCATTAGATGCACATCTAGGGGAAGGGGACGCGGCCAGACAAGGGCAGGGAGCTAGCCACGGATTGTCCGTCTTTTGGCTGATGATGTGCTCTCCTTAGAGAACTCAGACCCAGCCAGATCAGGGCCATCATTGACGTGTGGGGAATCGCCCCATCATGCTGCAACCAGATATTCTCTCTTTTGTCCTCGGGGTCTTGCTCGTGCTGGCTCCAGAAGCGCCCCAGCTCGCCGACGTATCACATCTTGTTGACCATGACTGTGGAGCCGTCTGCACATTGTAAGAATAGGGAGCCAATAAGGTCGCTGGATCTCATGCGGGTAACAGGTCAGCTGCGGGCTGTGCGGTGAGCTCCCAGCCCGGTGTTCGGTAGTTCCGAGGACAGATTGGACAGTCTGAATTTTTACTGCACAATTCAGGTGGAGGCGAGCTCGTCGCTGCCCCAGAAGCGGTTCAGAACCCACGGTCGGCTTCGACAGCCTTCGTCTTCAGCCAGATCGGAAATGCCATCCGCTGTTGTTTATCGGCTTCTGCCAGCTTCTGGCGGATGGCCACTCAATGGGAACATATTTTGCGGACATGTTTAAGCTTCCTGAGGCATATCCTTCCGGATGGATTTTGATGGATCCTCAGTAGTGACAGACCAGACTGATATGCCCCAGTCTTTCTTTTTGACCGCATGTTCCGCGTCATGTTTTGGGTTTATCACAGATATTGCTTGGAAGTTTTTTTCTTTTCTGCAGGAGCAAAATTATTTTGCGTTAGGTGTGTGGTGGGTTTTGAAGTGAAGTCTGGACTGTCTGTGTGTTGTAACGTTGGATCTCGTTGACTAATGCAAACTGACGAATTTGGTCTCTTGCTCCGTCCTGGGTAGAACCATGACACGAAGTGAATGTGGGCCTCGTCAGCGTAAATCCATGAAAGGTGATATCGAACGAAGCGAAGAAGCACGTGTTTGTGCGATACTAGGTTCCGTCACGTAAATAAAGCCAGAGCATATTGTTGCCATTGGATTATAATTGGTTCCGTTGTGCCTTGTGCCGCCGTACTATGGATCACAGTCAGCCGACACAGGGTAGTGCGGCCCTACTGGTGGCTTTGCATGGGTGTGCCGGGTGCACGCTTATCGGCATGGCGTGCGTGACATAGTTGACCGTGTGTGAGCAGACCAGAGCGTGTGCGGCTCGTGCTGGAGCTTCGGAACCACGGGCGCCGTGGAGAGCGGCTACTTTCTCCGCCACAACCGACTGGTGCGGCTCTCGCAGCAGGCGCTCATCGACTGCAGCTGGGGACAGGGCAACAACGGCTGCGACGGCGGCGAGGACACAAACTCATACAAGTCAGTCGCCCCCCCCCCCCCCCACACACACAGCACCACCAGGCAAACCACAGCGGAGGACGCAGAATGACCCGTCACCGTCGGCGTGCCGTTAAGCCTCAGTCAGTAACTCAAGCGAGTGTCGGATAGCGGTCCGCACAGTTGGGGAGCCTAGTCACTGTAACATCCGAGTTATCCATGACGATCAAATGACCTTTGCCATCGTTGTGATAATGATCGCAAATGAGATGTATTGCAGCACTTAGCTCAGAAATTCAGATTCACACGGAAATTGAGTGTCGCAAAATGGAGTGCTACAGTCTTGGGCAAAGTTTCAAGTACGTGAAAAGAACATGATATCCACCCTAAAGCTGAGGTTGTTGCGATTGAGTTTACGTTTCCGATAGAAGATTCCCACTTCTTCGTACCCTTCACTCCAGACTTAACTAGACTCTCCGTACCCATTAATTGGTTGACATGATAATTTGCTTCATTGCGCTCTCTCGCTCTCTCCTCTCTCTCTCTCTCCTCTCTCTCTCTCTCTGCCTCTCTTCTCTCTCTCTCTCTCTCTCCTCTCCCTCTCTCCTCTCTCTCTC